ACCAGGTAGTACAGGGACTTCAGATACCGGGGGCACTACCAGCCCAGCCGGTTGCAGCTCCAGTAGTTCCTGTTATGGCAGATGATGAGCAGAGGAGACTTGAGAGATTTGAGAGGCTTTGACCTCCACCATTTAGCGGTACTGAGTCAGAGGATGCTCAGGATTTTCTGGATAGGTGTCAACGAATGCTTCGGGCAGCGGGTATTCTGGAAACCAGTGGGGTCTCATTCACTATTTTTCAGTTTTTTGGGTTTGCACTCAGATGATGGGAGACTTACGAGAGATGTAGGCCTGTTGGCGCAGCACCCCTTACTTGGCATCAATTCTCCGTGGTCTTTTTGGAGAAGTTCGTACCTCAGTCCCGCAGAGAAGAGCTGTGCAGACAGTTTGAGCAGCTTCGCCAGGGTGATATATCCGTGACGCGGTACGAGATGAGATTTTCTGAGTTGGCTCGTCACGCAGTCTGGTTGGTTCCCACTAATAGGGAGAGGATTAGGAGTTTCATTGATGGCCTCACATATTAGGTGCGGTTACTTATGACTAGGGAGAGAGTATCTGGTGCTACTTTTGATGAGGTAGTGGACATTGCTCGGCAGATAGAGATGGTTCGTAGCCAGGAACATGGAGAGGGAGAGGCTAAGAGAACTCGTGGTCCGGGTGATTACATCGGTATTCCTTCAGGGGGTCAGTTTCACCGTGGTAGGGGTCGTTCTTACAGACACGCTCAGACGGGTCATCCAGCTCATCGTGGTGCATCAGCTAGCCATGGTTCTTACAGTGCTCACTCAGGCTAGTCTTCATTTAGTGCACTACCAGTGCAAAATTCTCATCATGCCTCGTCTGTACAGGCTTCTGCAGGTCATCCCTTGGGTTATCAGGAGCAGCAGTTCCGTTAGAGGAAGGGTTGTTTCGAGTGCGGAGAATTTGGTCATTTCAAGAGAGAGTGTCATAGGCTATTGAATGGGGTTTCACAGTAGAGTTCTCGACCGACGGCACCAGCACCAACAGTTACACCACCTGCCCTGCCATCTCGGGGTGTGGGGCAGGCAGCTAGGGGTCGCCCAAGAGAGGGAGGTTGATTAGGAGGCGGGCAGGCTTGATTCTATGCTTTTCCTGCCAGGCCAGATGTTGTTTCCTCAGACACAGTGATCACAGGTATTGTTTCAGTGTGCCACAGTGAGGCTTCTATATTATTTGACCCTGGTTCCACTTACTCATATGTATCATCGTATTTTGCTCATTATATGGATATGCCCTGCGAGTCCTTAGTTTCACCTATTTGTGTATCTACACCGGTGGGCAATATTATTACTGTGGATCAT